GTGTGTTTGTTAGACAGTGGGCACTTCCAGCCTGGAAACTTTAGCTCTGCAAAATTTCACGCATTATTTCTTTGTAATCACTCCTCCCCTCCAGTTTTCTCTATTCTTTCTTTCTAGGTACTCCTTTTAGTCAGATGCTGAATTTCCTGGATTGATGTTCACATTTTATATTTTTCTCTTCTTTTGTTTATTCTTGATTGTTTTTGAACATTCCGCTTTCTTGGAGATTAAAAAACTCATCTGCTAAATGTTTTGCTGCATATTTATTAAGTACCTGCTATGTGTCAGGAACCATGGTAGCCTACGGGGATCCAGCAGTAACCAAAACAGATGTTAAGTCCCTGCCCTCATTGAGTTTACCCTGTAGTTTGCAAACTTTCACTTAATCCTTCTGATTTTTGTAAGATAGCCTTGTATGTGTGAGATATCTTAAATCTAGTAGCTTTCTGCTTCAGTTTAAGTGATGAAATCTGTCTTTGATAAAGCAGGAGAGGAGCAGCTGCTTGGGCTGGGGAGGGAGCCCAAGGGTTTTGGTACTCTTCCCATAGCCTTTGCAGCAGGCATCTTGTGTTTGTTTCACCATAGAACTCCCTGCCCTCTGTGGTACCTGTACCATCAGTTTCAGAGCTTTTCCAGGTCTTTGTTCACCTATTCCCACTGTGGACCCTCAGAGCAGAGAATATCAAAACCCAACTGGGTCCATCACCTAATGTTTATCTGTTTTTTCATTTCTAAATAAAATGACTCTTCTTAGTCTGATAGTATCTCCTCTCCTATTTGATATTCCATGTAGGTTTAGAAGACCTGAGTTAGCTGTCATTCTAGTGTGGTTTTGTAGAAATGAGAGAAGAAATCATAGTTAGTCCTCCATAGCAGAGAATTCTTACTGGATTCCAGTTAAGGGATTCTTTGTCAGTGACAGCTAATTAACTGGTATCAGTTAATTACAGTTTGGTTTTTTTTTTTTTTGTGGTACGTGGGCCTCCCACCTCCGCGGCCTCTACTGCCACAGAGCACAGGCTCCGGACGCACAGGCCCAGTGGCCACGGCCCACGGGCTCAGCTGCCCCGTGGCATGCAGGATCCCCCCCGGACCGGGCCATGAACCCGCGCCCCCTGCATCGGCCGGCGGACCCCCAACCACTGTGCCACCAGGGAAGCCCCTAATTACAGTTTTAACTTAAACTTTATTCATTATATAGCATAAATGTTTAATTGGAATAATGTGTGTCACATATTTTAGAAGTTTCAAGTAACTCCCTAATAAAGCATTTTCTTTTTGTTTAGACTTCATTTCTCTGGAACAATCAGCATCTTC